GAACATTTATGACAACAAATAATGATCATATATGGTTCCAAACGACATTATATGACCCCGAGACGTCGTAGAATTTAAAGACTTTTCGACACACCGAACCCTGAAACCTTTAAAATTTCTCAAAAAGTGGATATTAGCCTTCAATTTTGTAATTTTTTAACTTTTTTTCGCCCATAAATAAAAAATGCCGAATTGTTTAACACTGTCCCTAATACCCTCCGGGAATCCAATTGGCTAGTTAAAACCTTCCTATTTGTCTTTCAACGACCAATTTACTGGTTTACAACTTGCACCAATTTCATTAACTCAAACCTACCACGAACATTTATGACAACAAATAATGATCATATATGGTTCCAAACGACATTATATGACCCCGAGACGTATTCCCTAGAATTTCAAGACTTTTCAACACCGAACCCCGAAAACTTTAAACTTTCTCCAAAAGTGTGGATATTAGCCTTCAATTTTGGAATTTTTTAACTTTTTTTCGCCCCAAATTGCCGAGTTGTTTACCACGATCCCTAATATCCTCCGGGAGTCCAATTGGCTGGGTAGAACCTTCCAATTTGTCTTTAAATGACCAATTTACCAGTTTACATTTTGCACCAATTTCATTAATCAAGCCTTCCACGAACATTTATGACAGCATATAATGATCATATATTGTTCCAAACGGCATTATATGACCCCGAGATGTATCCCCTAAAATCTAAATTCTTTTCGACACCCTGAAGCATTTGAAATTCCTCAAAAGCGTGGATATTAGCCTTCAATTTTGGAATTTTTTGACTTTATCTACCCCAGATAAAAAAATTATCGAAATGTTTACCATGGTCCCTAATACCCTCCGAGAGTCTAATTGGGTGGGTGGAACCATCCGATTTGCCTTTAAACAACCAATTTACCGGTTTACAACTTGCACCAATTTCATTGATTCAAGCCTACCACGAACATTTATGACAACAAATAATGATCATATATGGTTCCAAACGACATTATATGACCCCGAGACGTATTCCCTAGAATTTCAAGAATTTTCGACACAGGACCCCGAAACCTTTAAAATTTCTCAAAAAGTGTGAATATTAGCCTTCAATTTTGGAATTTTTTTGACTTTTTTCGCCCACAAATGAAAATTGGCGAGTTGTTTATCACGGTCCCTAATACCCTCCGGGAGTCTAATTGGTTGGTTAAAACCTTCCAATTTGTCTTTAAACGACCAATTGACCGCTCTACAACTTGCACCAATTTGATTAACTTAAGCCTACCATGAACATTTATGACAACATATAATATTCATATATGGTTCAAACGGCATTATATGACCCCGAGATGTATCCCCTAAAATCTCAATGCTTTTTGACTCCAAGTCCTGAAACATTCGAAATTCCTCAAAAACGTGGATATTAGCCTTCAATTTTGGAATTTTTTGACTTTTTTTCGCCCGGATATAAAAATTGTCGAAATGTTTACCATGAACCCTAATACCCTCCGAGAGTTTAATTGGGTGGGTGAACCATCCAATTTGCCTTTAAACGACCAATTTACCGGTTTACAACTTGCACCGATTTCATTAAGTCAAGCCTACCACGAATATTTATGACAACAAAAAATGATCATATATTGTTCCAAACGTCATTATATGACCCCGATACGTATTCCCTAGAATTTCAAGACTTTTCGACACCGGATCCCGAAGACTCCAAAAATTCTCAAAAAGCGTGGATATAGCCTTCAATTTATGAATTTTTTTGACGTCTGGAAATAAAAATTGCTGAAATGTTTACCATGGTCTCTAATACCCTCTGAGAGTCCAATTGGGTGGGTGGAACCATCCAATTTTCCTTTAAACGGCCAATTTACCGGTTTACAACTTGCGCCGATTTGTTTAACCAAAATCTACCCCAAACATTTATGACAACATATAATGATCATATATGGTTCCAAACTATATTATATGACCACGAGATGTATCCCCAATAATTTAAAGGCTTTTCAACACAGGGCCCCGAAATGCTTACCATGATCCCTAATACCCTCCGGAAGTCCAATTGGGTGGGTCGAACCATTCAATTTGCCTTTAAACGACCAATTTACATGTTTACAACTTGTACCGATTTCATTTATTCAAGCCTATCGCAAACATTTATTACAACAAATAATGATCATATATGGTTCCAAACGACATTATATGACTCCGAGATGTATCCCATAGAATTTCAAGACTTTTCGACACCGGTCCCTAAACCTTCAAAATTTCTCAAAAAGCGTGGATATTAGTCTTCAATTTTGGAATTTTTTGACTTTTTTTCGCCCGAAAATAAAAATTGTCGAAAAGTTTACCATGGTTTCTATTATCCTCCGGGAGTCCAATTGGGTGTGTGGAACCATCCAACAGCACCCACGAGAATTACCCTAACCCGTTTTAACCTGTGAAAACTCGAATAGAACCCGACTTATTGTTCACCCGACCCGAATGTAACCCGACCTGTTATTAACTCGACCTAAACCCGACCCAAACCAGATAAGAAGTATGACCCGACATGACCCGACTCAAACATGACCCGACGTGACTCGACTCAAGCATGACCAAACCCGACCCGCATATGTTATGTAATTAATTCGAATTGACCCGACCCACTCTTATCCGACCCAAACCCGAAATTGACAGCTCTACTCATGTATGCTGTTGTCAATTAAGGAGTGCTACTTGGTTGATCTTGTTAGTTATTGATTGTATATTTGTATTTGACATCTTGTGAATGCTGTCACTTGAAATTTGCATTTACACTATACTAGATGAATTGGTATTAATTATTCTGATGTGTCATTGCAGGGAGATCAGGAGTTACATTAAAGTGGACAAAAAGATTAAAGGTGGCTCTTGGGGCAGCAAGAGGTCTGGCATATTTGCATGAGCTTGCTGAGCCCCCCATCATACACAGAGACATTAAGTCGGAAAATATACTTCTTGACGATCATTTAAATGCAAAAGTGGCAGATTTTGGTTTTTCCAAGCTGTTAGGTAATGATGGAGATCATGTTAGTTCCCAGGTTAAGGGAACAATGGTTAGTCTTCTATGCCTTAACTTATATGGTATGTTAATTATGATTTCTGGGGAAAGGGGGTGGGCATGTGGATGGTTCAAGTAGAATTTTCGTTCCATCAAAATTTGGGGTAGAAGTAGAATTAATTATATTTTGCATCAATTGCCAAAGGATCCAATTTAATTCCTATTTGAAGCTGTTTGTGCATATAACAATTTGTTTATTTATTTCTCTATCACCTCAAATGTTTATTTCTTCCTTTGCATTCAAATATGTCCTCCTTTTCCAGGGGTACTTAGATCCTGAATACTTGACCACCCAACAGTTGACTGAGAAGAGTGATATCTATAGCTTTGGTGTGGTGATGCTGGAGCTGGTAAGTGGTAGGTTGCCGATAGAGAACAACAAGGAGTACATTGTAAAAGAGGTTAAGGTCACAATGAATGAGACAGGGTACATATACAACCTTGTGGACCCTGTCATTCGTTCTGGCAATCTGATTGGTATGGAAGAATTCGTGGAATTGGCTTTGAAGTGCGTCGAGTACTCAGGAGACAAGCGGCCTTCAATGGGTAAAGTGGTGAAAGAAATAGAGAGTATCATTCAGGTGAGTGAAAAGAACCTGAAAGCTGTTTTAAGTTCCTATGCAGGAACAAGTGATGGCTCTGATTCCAGAATAAGCAATCCTTTTCCAAGATGATATAGCATGATTTGATGTAATGTTTGTGGACTTCTCAGTTCTACTCTGGCTTATCCTTTTGTTTGGGCATGTCTTGTTCTCTGGTGACCAGAACAATCTTCTTAGCTGTGTACAAAATAATTGAATTTAATCGTTAGGGGTGGACAGAGTGCATTTCTTTCACATGTATGAAGATGAACTGGTGGTAATTTAGGGGGTGATATTAAGCATTGGTAACAGAACAAGATTAATCTAATCTCACAGTAATATAATATTTTCATGTACAGGGAAATATTGTCAGCGTGAAGATTCTACTTTAGAGTTATTGTATTGCTGCTTGTATATACATGTTGCTAGTTACACTGTTGGTAAGAAATAACATGCAAGATTCACTTGTCATCTTAATTTGGTACATACAGAGTATTTGTTGTGTCGCTGATTCGGATTATTCGGATAAATGAATCCTTGAAGTATAGAATAGTGCTAGTTTTTGTTGTTGAAGATCATTAGATCCTATTGTTATACAGATTCTACTTCGGAACGGGAACTTAACAACCATGGTTCATGGTTATGTAGACAATATGAGTCTGCACCGAAGAACACTCGTTATTAATCTGCTTCTTGATGGCTATTTCTTTCTCAAATTACTCCCGAAAGTGACATGATTTGATTTAAGGTGGTCCACTACTCATTAGTCCTTGTGACCTTATCCATCCTATTGACTGTTTTCCTTGAGTTAGGAATTTAGGATGTTAGTGTCGTGTAGTTACTGCTCCATTCCTAATGGTGCATGCTTTTGGAATGGTTCAAAAATTTTCTCGTTGCCTAAAAATAACATAAAAAGGACACCTCCAGCTTCATCTTTGCTACTTCTATGGATTTCTTGTCTATGAAGCCTTTAAATTTTCACTTGATAATTCGTTATTTGCACTTTTTCCCTTGAGTACACTAAGTTTCACTTGGAAAAAAAATTTGTTATTTGAACTTATTCCTTCTCATAACTTGTTTCGTTGTGATTTGAACATGAGTAACCGCAAGCAAGCTGAACTTTAATTGTCCTTATCTCAACCAATTTGAGCTTAAAGCACAAATTGAACATGAGCAACCGTGACCAAGCTGAACTTAAACTGTCCTTATCTCAACCAATTTGAGTTTAAAAGCACAAAGCTCTTTAAACCAGAGGCCTTTCTTGACGTTAAGTTTTAGGAGGACACTAGGCAGTATAATTTTAAGAATAATATTATCAGCTAAGGCCGAACATCATGGGAAATATAGAGATTCGTCACTAGGTTTTAGTTTCTCTTCTTGATGCAATGGTTAACAGAGAACTATATGAGAAAATTCATCCTCCAAGCGTTACAAAGAGCACGAAGCTCACTTTAAGCATACACCAGAGTCAATATGAACGATAAATACACAACAAAACAGAGAGGCAAAAGTCTTTTGTTAACTTCTTATCACGGTAGTCACACAGGAAGAAGGCAACACTATCCAAATAATTCATTTTTTTAAAAAAAAAATCAGGCACTCAAGATTCAGGAGCTGGAACAGCAGCTGCAACGCCTTCAGGAACCAGAGCTGCTGCTCGCTTGATTGAAGCAGACTTCATAATATGAGCATAGCTTCCTTTCTCTCTGAAAAGCTGTGAGAAATGATGTTTGCAGTAGAGAATTCCATCAAGGGCAGCATAGTTTGAAGGGGTAATTGAGCAGCCACCATGGGAACACTTAAAACAAGACTTGTGATAGAATTGGTTTTCCACTGTCACCTGATGGGTATTTGCATATAAAATCAATGACCAAGGAAAAGTTAACCAAGATATCCGTAAAAACGCATGCACGAAAGAAACAAGACTCGACTTTAAAAAGGATGAGCAAAAGGTGACAACTAACAAGCATATCTTTAGCTACCCTTGGATAGCCAAGGACTAGGTACTCAAATCACACTACCATGACAGACCATAAAACCCAATGAAGGCTTATGAAGCAGTAAACATAGATGTTACTCAGACGTTAATTCTAGTGTCCGACACAGGTATGCATTCCAAGCAATGACTAAGCCACATGGAAAGAGTCCAAGTCAAGTCAGTTTTAAAAATCAAACATGTTCTTAAGGTAGGTTCCATGAAGAGTCTAAATAAAATAGAAATGGCCTCAACTACGCGCAGCTTATATATTGGCTGACATTTTTCACCTGTATGTTTGTTCATCTTGACTACAAAACTTCAAAAAAAAGTACAACAATGGCAATCCAGTGAAATGAGATTGATGACTTCCTCTTTTATTTTTTCTTCCCAGTCTCTTCAGTTGTTGTGTAAAGGGAGGAGGGGGTGTTACACAATCAAACTCTGAGATGAATAAACAATTGCTAAACCAGACCAATTGAAGTGCAAATTTAATAACAAAGACAATACCTTTTCAATGGGATAAACAGTTTTGGAACAAGTTGTACATTTTTCTTGAGTCCCTGAAAACATGCTCGCGGCTTTGCTTGGCGACCTTGTCTGAGACCAAATTGCATTATTGGATATCAGAGAAGAAACAACTAGGTCGCCCATTTTTATCAATGAAGCATGATAATGGAGGAGAATTTTACCAGCTCAGGCTTCATATCAGGTGACTTTTCAGCTAGTAGTCTTGTAGGCGCTGTTGAAATAACATATACAGATCAGTTAAATAGCACAAGAAAATACTCCATTATTCAGTTAAATGGTCAAAAACTATAAAGATCTTGATCTTAATATCAGGTTTAAGGAATTGAAAGAAATCATACGAGACTGAAAGTTCTTGTTGAAGTTCCCTGACTCTTTGAACAATTGCTCAAAGTGAGGCTTACAGTATAAAACACCCTCCATTGAAGAAAAACTGTGCAGCTGCAAGCAAGATGGAAGATACATTAGCCATTATTACTGACCACCTCAACCATATACTGCTGTACAAACCCAAATAACAAGAAGACTACTTACACGATACACGAATAGCAACGCTAAAATCTTCACTTACCATTTGTTAATACAGTATACGACACTTTCATCTATAGTTCTATACCAAGACATTAACAGTATACATAAACATACACATATAAAGAATTGTCGAAGAACAAGCTTACCAGCCAGACAAAAATGGCTAAGATTCACATCAATGAAATTCGTTAATGTTAAAAGTCTAAATACAACAACATTTATTCTTCTTCTAAGGTCTAAAAGAATATCCTGATCCTTGACTCCTCCATCTACTTTCTCCTATATAATTCGTACAAAAGTATGTGTGTCGGATCGTTCTGTTCTAAAAACACATTTGAGTCACTAAATTGACTATGAGCTACATTACAGACTACATTCAAATAGCTCAATAACAAATCACCAAACCAATCTACACAGAAGCAAATTATCCTTCTCTTTTGGTCCAAAGAAGGCACAATTACACAAATAGACCAATTGAACATCCTAGCTAGCTGACATCCATATGACAAAAATACCCTCATAAAATGACATAAATAAATCAGATAAAAATAATTGATTAACAAAATCAAATTATTCACATGCACAACAAAACTAACAGCTTTAAATTTTTTAACCCAGAAAAGCTTTGATTGTCATAGGCAAAAACTTCCAACTCCCCACATTCTCAATTACAATACAATATTGGAAAATTGCAACAAAAATTAAGTCTTACTGCCATTAAAAAAATTAAAAAAAAAAAAACATCTAATCAAAATTAAGTAATTAAGATAGCAATAAAATAAAAAGGGATTACCTGAAGCCTGCTTTTGCAATGGTTGCATTTGAAGCAAGACTTATGATAAGCAATACCATCAGCAGAAAGCTGATCCATCACATAAACAGTCTTGTCACAAACCTTGCATTTCTGCTGAGTTCCTGTAAACGACATCGTTTTCTTTCCTCCTCCCTCTTGTTAACAGATCTAACAAACTCCTTCCTCCTACCAATCACCAAAACCCAAAACCTCTCCCTGATTTTCTCTCTCCTCCAGCAACAATCAAGCTGATCTGAACACCAAAATCAAAAGTGGGTCAACTCATAAATCAAAAAAACAATCAAAAAACAAACAATTAAAGGAAAATAAAGGGTAAAAGTATGCAATTTTTAATGGGGTTTAAAATTAGGGAAGAAATAGAAACCTTAGAAAAAAGGGATCTGGAAAGAAGAAATGGTGAAGAGGAGAGAGAAAGGGAAGAGCAGAAGCAGGTGGGTGTAGAGAAGGAGGATGATAATGATGGACGGAGGAAGAAGAGAGAGAAAGTTAGAGAAGGAAGGAAGGAGAGAGAAAGAGTCGAAAAAGATGGGATAAATAAAAAAAATCTGGCAAAGTTAACACCAAACCTTGCCTGGCTCCACTACTACTTGAATATCAATAATCAAATGTTTATGCGCGGCTTTTTATTTTATTTTTTTATTTTTTTTGGGGGGGGGGGTGTTTTAAGAAAATTATGGTTTTCATGAAAGTTCAATTATTCATGGAGTTCTGTGATCCTGTCTATGTATCATGGTATAAGACATTTACAATTTTACAAAGAGATGGAAACATCTTTGATGTTTTAGGGTGACTATGGATATGGACATTATGCCATTATGTGTTTCCTTATAGATGTAATTTAGCGATTTGTATCTATTCAAATAATTAGTTTTATCAATATTGTCTTCATAGAGGTAATCTAGATGTGATTGCGTTACATATTATTACTTGTGGAGTAATTCATTTGTTAAAATTACTATAGTAAGTTAAAGATGTCATTTTGACTCAATGGATTAGTTTTAAAATACAATTTGGTCTAAAAGTTATCTATTACTCTATGTATGTACTCGTCGATTTGTATCTTGGTTTCACTACGTACTTTCACATTAATCAAATTAATAATTTTCTTAGTTCTTACGAAGTATTTTTTTTTTTTTATAAAAGTGTCTAACACGAAAATCGCAATAATAAGTAAATATATGTGATGTGTGCATTTGTGTTACATTCATGGCATTGATATCAGTATAGTATCTTCACTGTTTATGGTTATATAGCTAGCTATATTGCCTACACTATTAGTCCAACAAAAAAAGATTCACTTTTACATTAGACTCTTCACTTTTACATTGCCTACATTTTTCGGGCATCATAGTACAGTCACAAACTCACAACTGAGGATTATAGTAGCAATCAAGCATATTGGATTCATTTATGTCTATTCATTTCACATGCAATTATCAGCTGGAGCAATGTACTAGGACAGTAGGACCTAAGTTAAAGTGCCAATGAATAATTTCTTCACGGTTAAACACAAGCTTTCTAATCAATCATACTGCACGATTCCACCAAAATTAACGGCTTTTAACATGGAATAAAGTAATTTACCAACTATTAAAACAATTAAACCACCTAGTTAAATATCGACCTGAGCCAGATTTGTCCCATATCTAATACGAGTATCTATATATGGGACTCACTAACAAGGAGCCTTACTTGTTAATTTGAGTCAGAGTTAGACATATTTTAGGGCATATTCAATCTGATACGATTATTTTTTGTTCAGTTTAGCTCTAATAAGTTTAGTTCAATTCAATTTAGCTTTAATAAGTTCAGTTCAGTTCAGTTCAGTTCATCTCCTAATTTCCTTCTCTTATAAAATATTCATTTCAGTTCAGCTCTAATAAGTTCAGTTCAGTTCAATTTAACTCAGTTCAGTTCAGCTCGCTTCAGTCAATGAAAATACGCCCTTAGATTCGATTATATTATACGTAGAATAATGGAGGAAAGAAATATCCAAAGTCAAAGATATTTTTACAGGCGGCCAAGATCTGAAGGAATGTTTGACGACTTTGCCGCTCGGAATCAATTGGCCGCTTACATGCCACAGAAGGAAGTGACTGTTAGAGAATTTTCTATGTACATAGGAAGGACTGCATCGTCATTTTATGTCGTTAATATAATGATCATCTAATCAATAGATTGCGACATAATGTAAATCAAATTTACTTGTCATAACATTAATATAAATAAAATTATTAATGTGACAATGTCTATCGAAAGAGGTAATATATACGTAGCATTTGATTAAATATATACCATTATACGGAACATCATTCAGCATAGAATGACATAATCGAGCAAACGATTTAGTTATACTCGTATATGATTTGATGGAATAAGGATTCCTTATTGTCAAATAAGCAGATTGCATGCATATTTATGCTTGGCACCTTAGCTCCATGATTAAAACTCCGTGGTATTAGACTATTAGTGGAGAATATCTTTTTTTTTGGGATATTCTCATTGATACACTCCAGGTTTTGACTTTTCTTAATGGTACCACATTTTTTTTTTTACTTCCTGCTGATACACCCAAGGTTTTGACTTTATAATTCACGTACCTAAGTCTGTTAATCAGACGTTAATAACTTGATAAATTAACATCTTAGGCTTAGTAAAAGATGAAATGACTAATATACCCCTTTTTTAATCCATTCCCTCCAAATTTTTCCCCTTAAATTGTCTGTTATTTCCCTCCAACTTCTCAAACCCTATTCCCTCCCTAAAAAAAGCCAATTTCCCTTCTTCTATTCTCCATTAAAGTTCTCTTCCATTGTTACAAACTTATCTCATCTCCATTAAAGCTCCCTTGCTGCAAACTTATCTTCTCTTCTGACATTGCTGCAAACTTTACATTGACTGTGTATGTTTAATATTGAGATCAACTAAAATAGACAAAGTAACTAAAATGTGGGACAAATTGAAATAGACAAAATGACATCAGTTGCCAACATTCATTAATATATATAGGTTATTTGGGAACATTGCAAAAATCCAACTTTCAATAGTAAAGTTGTCTACTAAATTACCAAATAACAACAGCAAAAATCATCTCAAATGACAAAAAAACAGAGTTAACTACAAGTTTTGACTTTCTATAAAATTATCGAAATGCATATGCCACTATACTGCAGAACAAAAGACTTAGGAGCTTGGAGAATTTGATTTTCATTGAGACATAGGCACTGGTTGGCTAGGCAACTGTGAAGCTGTCAGTACTATTGCTTCCTTAGTTGAGGGTCTGCCCTTCTGTCCCTTTGCTTGTTTAGCTGAAGCTGCAGACTGAGATCCAACTTCTTCACATTTCTTTGCTGCCTTAGCTGCCTTTGCTGCATTACTTTGGTCTCTGACCCTAGGATTTTTTATGACAACAGGCTCATTTGACTTCAGTTCTTTCCCAGTTAACCCTCCCTTACAAGTTGTCTTATTATGGCCAAAGCAACCACATTTGCTACATTTGACTGTTTTGGACCTTTTTCCAGGTTGCTCTTCACCTTCCTCCCTCTTTCTATTCCTACTTGGTCTTCCAATTCCCCTCTTCATCTTAGGAGGCATGATGATTGTACCTGACTCATCTGCAGGCCATTGCTGTGTGTCAGGAATTGGGTTAATGCAAACACTATAAGCTTACTTAGGGATAGACTCATATCATAGCAAAACAATCGAAAAATTGAAACACAAAGAGGAAAGTACTTGCCTTTTGCCTATCAGAAATAATGGTCCAATGCTCCCTTGATGAGTCTTTCACAATGTTTGGGAAGGTGCATCAATTGGTTGTGCAGATTTGGATTTGTTCCTTAACCTGTTGATCATTCTATTCAAGGCACTTGGTTTCTTGGCAAACCCAACCCAAATATGATACATCTCACAGTCACCTAGGGTATGAATCATCTTAAAAAATCAGCATCATTTAGTAAAGGGTGATTCTTTTCATTGTGACCATAACCAAAGGTAGGGTTGATTAAGGGATACTCAGTGTCTAATGCAGTAGTGTCCTCAAAATCCATAATCAAGTCCATCAAATTACATCTATCTAAGTCAACATCAATATCAACATGTTTATCCCAGTAATGAAACCTTATCACAACATCACCCATTCTGCAAAATAAGGTAAACAATGCACACACTTACAACATGCAAATCAATTCCAATTCAATTATCCAACAATCAATCAAACATGATCATGGCATTTCATTCAATATAATTCCATATTCTAACCCAATAATTGAACAAACATAAGCCCCCACCTAATATACATGAAAGAACCCTAAAATCGCACAAATATACATCATTAAAATCATGAATTAAACCTAAAATCGCATATTAAAACAGAACATCAAACAAATGCACCAAATCATGCATAAATGAACAGTAGTAGTGCTAAAGTACCTGAATTATGCAAGATTTCCCTCTAATGGCTTTGTAGACCAACGAAATTAGCAAATTTTCCCTTGCAAAACCCTTCGTGAATTCAACAGAGAGCAGAGGAGAGAGAGATGAAATTTGAAAGTGAGTTTGGTTTATGTCAAATCGACATAAATGGAAGGGAAAGGGTTTTTTATCGTTGGAGGGAAGGGTTTAAAAGGGGGTAAATTAGTCTTCTTTTTTTTTTTACAAAATTATATTTTAACCTAGATTTACTAACTTATTAACGTCTGATTAACAGACTTAATCACGTGAGTTAGTAAGTCATAAACTTGGGTGTATCATTAGGAAGTCAAAAAAAAATGTGATACCGTTGGAAAAAGTCAAAACCTGAAGTGTATCAATGGGAATTTCCTTTTTTTTTCCTTCATTTTATTCTTTTTGGCTGAGCATATTGAGGGGATAGTATTGCCCCACTTATAATTAATTATCATTGATTTGATTCCCTTTACATAATTACTTGTAGGCACGACTTTATATTTTTGTTTTTTTTTTCCATTATTTTTTTGGCATGATTTAGGATGCTAATCAATTGAGTTGATCGCAAGCTGATGAAGGGTGCGTGCTCGACTCGGCTTGAAATTTTTTGCATGTATGTACTCGGTTTGTACTTATTACTCACTAAACATGATAATATCTTGTTCATCTTGTGCTCATTAAAATTTTGAGTGAATTCAATAGCAAATGGTACGGAAGAACATGATGTTACAAGTTTAATTGGCAACACTCATAACAATAAAGTTTGATGCACCACATGAAATATCACCCAAAATTTTAATCATATTTTTGTATTTTTTTAGCATTGCACCTAAGTTAATTAAGATGGAGCCGCTTAAACTTTTTCAAAGAAAAATTTTTTACCTTAAGAAAATATTTTATTATACGAAGTCGGAGTAATATTTTAGAACCATTGTGAAGTAATTTTTTCCACTCTTATTTTAAGGCTAGCTAGGTTTTCAATACTTTCCAATAAAAAATTAAAAATACGTTTAAACAACAACACATTACGTAATTCATCCTCTTAAAAGAAATCATGTGTTATGTACCACATGTATAAAGGTATAATTGATAAATAATACTAGTTAAACATGTGTGGATGTGTGATGCACCAGACGTATGTTGATAGTTCGCTTATATCTAACGTATCATTATACCATTATAGTCTATAGAAAGGCCAAGATAACTAAAGAGGGTTTGGCAAAGCCTACAAGACCCCCAAACGTTACATTATATCTATCCACAAGAGAGATTTCATTTTCTAAGCTGTAGATAGCTACACTGGGTTCGCCACAACACAGCCGATGTATGTTGATGGAGCTTGCTCATCAGCTCGCATATTACTCATACCAATGCCTTTATTTACGTAACAACAAATACATAGAGATCAGTTACTGATGAGAGCAATAAACTTGCATTTCCTCAAACTAATTAAGACTAGTCATATATTTTAGAGCTAGGAAACTTACCAAAATGAGATCACGAGACTGTTTGTCCTTAGACAACTACCACCGGTTGCTACAAACTGAAAGGTTAATGATATCAGGTTTTTTAGTTAGATGATGCGATGATAAAAATATAAAAAGGCGGAAGAAAGGGAAAATCAGGCTTAGATGGTTGGCCTTAAATCTTACATAAAGCATCTAAACTGGAAAAGCATGTTGTTTTGTATGGTTGGCGGTCTTCCCTTCGTCTCAAAATCATTGTTTGGGTGAAATACTGCTTGCAAATGGGACAACGTAAATCGTAGCCGTCCTGTTCCACTGTATTCTCCAATGCTCCTTGGATAAATTCTGCATATATGCTTGAAATTTTTAGTAATACTAATAAACAATTGCATTTGTTCCATCATTTTGGAACTAATTAAGGCTTGGTTAGTTGTTATTATTGTTTTATTTGCTCCACCATGCATAAACCTCTATCAAAACATAAAACAGATTTGTTATTACTTACTCTGTTCCAACTTCCTCTTAATAAATTTCCACAAACAAGTACATGCAGTGGTACGGAGTTATAAAAATGGTTAAGATACTCACAAATTCCACATAATTGCATCAATCTAGTAAACATAATCAAAGAAGTTGGAACAGACTTAGCTAAAGATACAAATTCCTCAGAATTGCATCAATATTGCATACCTTGTTTATCGTCAAAGTTTTCATTAGCAATTTCTACTGGCTGATCTATGGCACTAACAACAATCGCATCAATAGATCCATCGCTTTTGATTTTGCAATCTTCTTCCACTTGAGAACCTACACACACACACATATATATATATATATATATATATATATATATATATATATATATATATATATATATATATATATATATATATATAGGAGGCTCTCGTGAGAATTTTTCTTATGTGAGAATTTTTCTTATGTGAGAACACTCTTTATGTTCTAAATTTTTACTCGTATGTTCTAAACTTTTCCTTAGGTGTTTTAAATTAAATCAAATATTCTAATTTAGTACTCACATGTTCTAAACCATAAATTAGTTAAGTTTAAATATCATAAATTTTAAATAACTTGTTCCAAAATTTTAACTTATATGTTCTAAATTTTAAAATGTGTGTTCTAAGATTTTTAATTATATGTTCTAGATTTTAAAGCGTATGTTCTATTTTTTTACTCATATGTTCTAAATTTTTTACTCACACTTTCTATATTTTATATCAGTTTGTTCTAAATTTTTATTCACATGTTCATAATCTTAAATCAGATGTTCTAAATTTTACTCATATGTTTAAAATTTCATAAAGCATATTTTATAAATTTTTAATCACTTGTTCTAATTCTTAAATCAAATGTTCTAAACATATTACTCACATAGATGTTCTAAATTATTACTCATATGTTCTAAATTTTAATTTCAGACACATGTTTTTATTCGTATGTTCTAAACTTTTACTCACATGTTCTAAATTTAAAATCAATTTTCATATAAGTATGAATTCTCACATATGAACCTATTCTCACCGGATCCCTCCCCTATATATATATATATATATATATATATATATATATATATATATATATATATATATATATATATATATATATATATATATATATATTATGATCATGAGCTCTTTGAAATTATATTGAGCCTCCATTTGAAAGTTCGTTCTAGATGTGCTCTTATTTGCATAATTACATACCTTGTTTATTGTCAAAGTTTCCAATAAGTTCATTGTCTTGGACTTTATCTCGAACACTAATATCCACATAATAGCTAGCAACATTTGCAGCTTTAGTTTCATCACCTTTGCTTTTGCCATCTTCTGCAAGCAAACCTACATGTATATATAGTATACTTTTCAGGGTTTTATTAAAATCTTCACAATATGGTTTGTTTGATCTTAGTTGTATGAGTGTATCGACCATTGTCCCATTTCGTGTTCTAGTCAGTGCCCGGGTAATAATAATTAATACAGGAATTAACAAAGACAAAGGATTAAGTTCTAAGCATCAAAATAATCTTCATCAAGGATCACATCTACAATTTGATTATCGTAATGATGATAATAGTTGGTTAATCTACCTTGTAGGGTTAATAAGAAGCTTATAACAATACAATGTAAATCTTTCGCGTACCTTGATCATCAAAAAAAATTGCTTGTCCATCATCCTCAATTTTATCTTCGACATCAACATCCACAACAGTTCCATCACCTTCACTTTCGCTATCTTCTATATGCAAGCCTGCATATATTAATATAAGTACTTCAAATTAGACAGGTCTGTTCTTAATTTTACAGGTCCTTAGAATCACGATATTCATGAATGCATCCATACCCTGTATATTTCTTACACTGACATCCACAATGTATTCATGGGTATTTCCATCCACAATTCCATTGTCTTCGTCTTTGCAATCTTCTAAACATAATGAACCTACATACAAAGTATACATTTCCGTTACTCTAGATTCTTGGGGTTAATGAAAAGCTAGCTTAACAATGAATATTTTTGTTTACCATGATCATCATCAAATTTTGCATGTCCATCATCTACAAATTTATCTTCAACATAAACATTGACAATGCTTGCAAGGTTTGCATCATCTTTGGCTCCCCCACTTTCGTTATTGCTATGTTTCGAATACATACCTATAAATTTGAGGATGATCATCAAACTCAGAGGATGAAAGATTGAAATTAAAGGCTGACTTCCATTATTTAGTAAACTATCTTAAGACTTGACTTCGTTTTCTTTCTTACTACAATCTTTGTGATACCTCTAATCATGTTTTACATTATTTAATACTACAATCACTCCATAATAGGAAAAATGTAACTAGCTAGCTCATTCAATGAAAAAGTTCTTGCACACCCAGGCCAGTTTTTCATACTTACTCAAATTATTTGATTTCGTGGTAGGGAAAATGTGTTATAAAAGTAATTGGAAAATTTGTCAAGAATAAGCCAACCTTTATCCGGTTTGCTCAAAATAAGTCAACCTTTCGATTAACTCAGAATAATCCAACCTTTATAGGGTATCCACTTTAAATAAGTCAAGTGACCTGCAACCGTTTATTAACCGGTTATTGATGTTATTTGTGACACGTGTCAGCATGTGGTTCGTCATTTTTCTTATAATAAATTAATTAGGAATTATTATATAATTAATTATTAAAAAATCTAATAATTATAAATTTAAAAAAAAAAAGAAAAGAAAAAAACCCCAACCCCAGCTCACCCGCCCTCCCAGGCCGCCGATGGCCGGCAGCCAAAAAATTCCCCGGCGCCGACACCGACGGCCTCTACCGCCCACCCACGATGCTCCCACCCAACCCCACTCCTTCCCCTTCCCCATTCACCTTTCCCCACCCCGACACGACACCACCCCCTCCCCTTCACCCCCTGCCGGAAACAACCCCCCTCCCCTGTCTCCCTGTAGAATTCGACCCCTCCCTCCCCTTCCTTACTGGGTTAAAGGATTTTGGGGTGTCGATTGACGGTGGGGAAGGGGAAGGACGGGGGAAACGGGATGGGGAAAGGGGAAAGGAAAGGGAAGGGGAAGGGTGGGGGCGTCGTGGGTGGGTGGAGAGGTCGTCGGTGCCGACGCCGGGGAATTTGTGGTTGCCGGCTACCGGCGGCCTGGTAGGGGAGGGGGGTGAGCTGGCAGGGGAGGGTAAGGGGGTTGGGGTTTTTTCCTTTTTTTTTTGAAATTTATAATTATTAGTTTTTTTATAATTAATCATATAATATATCCTAATTAATTATTAATAGAAAAATGACGAATCATATTCTAACACGTGTCACAATTAACCTTAATAACCGGTTACAATAGGTTTTGACTCATTTAAAGTTAATACCCTATAAAGGTTGGATTATTCTGAATTAATCGAAAGGTTGACTTATTTTAAGCGAACCGGACAAAGGTTGGCTTATTTTTGACAAATTTTCCAAAGTAATTTTAGATTTAAATAACAAGCCATTAAGAATATAAGTGACTTATTTGATAATGATATGTACTCCGTAGTACTCCGTATTTTTAAAGTTAAGTTATAATATTGTAAAATTCAAACTATATATATATATAAAAAAAATAAAAATAAAAAATAAAAAAGCCTTTACGTGTCCCTTGGTATTTTTTTCCCATACTTGCACTCTGCAAGTATTTGTACCGTATTAAATGAACTAGAAAATTACTCCATATAACGGTAAAAGTCTGATCAAAAGTCTTCTCCAGTTCTCCCTTCCATAAAAATTTATATGTACTCCTAGTAAACTAATTACCCGCCTCTCCCATCTTCTTCGCCTAGATCATTGACTTCATCTAAAATCATGTGATAATTAGACGTGGTATTACTCTCATAATTGCAAGTTGGAAAAACGAAATACTCATTACTCTAAAATCCTACCTAACCCTTTAATTTCATACCCGTTGACCTCCATGGATACATGTCTATCTCCTTGAATGCTCTATCACTTTTCCTTTACTTAACATATTTCAATGACAATCCAAAAATTAGACTGAGATAAGGAAGATATAAATGATATAAAAGCATCTTTCCCAATTTATTAGTAAAAAGGATCTCATCTGATCCCATAGACTATGAAGAATAACTATATACTACCTCCGTTACAGGTTATGTACAACGATTTGACATAAAGTAGAGAGAGAAAATGTCTAATCGTTGCACGTAACCTGTAACGGAGGTAGTATATATTGAGCTAATCTAGCTATATAAATAAGAAATTGCAACAATGAAGAAGTAGTACATACCTTGAGTTGCATCAAAATTGCTGTTAAGATCTGGATCATATCGTCTTCTAACCATAGTAGGAACATGTCTTAGAACTTTACGTTCATACATTGGCAATGGTGGAGCTTCTTTCCCAAAACTCATGATTTCTGTTTATTTTTTGCTTTACCAAATTTGGGACTACTTTTTAAGTGTGGTCAGCGAATGGTAATCAAAACAATTTATACCCCATTCCAGTCGTGAATCACGAGTTAAATACCGTATTTAATATTTATTTTTGGTCCATATTATTATCATCAACTAACTCTATACTAAACGACGCATAATTGACTAAAATGCAATATATTTATATGCTCAGCTCGACCATCCATAATCCTACTTTCTACTTCATTCTTATCTTATAACTTTGACAATTAGTATTATTATACGGAGTATCTAATTACTTGTACGGAGTATTATTGTACATCCTCTGTTTTTAAACACTTGTAAGTTGTAACATATTCTTATGACACGCTTTTTGAAGTCGAAATTACATGCTGTAAATTAAACGACTAAACTAATCAAAATAATTTTTACATATGATATCTATCCCTTCTCTAATCCTAGTTATGATATTATTTTGAAAAAAAAGTTCGTTTACCTTCAACCTTCACTAATCAAATAAGTTAGTGACTAACTTGGCTGTTAGACAAAGTAGATATTTGTAAGCTATCAGTCGAATAAGGTGGCAAAAACTTGGTTGCTAAAATGCTAAGTTAAGGCCGGAGTGCTAGCAACACCCGATCTAGTGAGCAGTCCCATCCTCTTACTAAGCTAGCAAATACCTGGGGATTAGTTCAATTCTCATCATGGAGAGATGAGATGTATTAGGTTTTAGGTAGATCATATGTAGGTGCCTTGAGCAAGGAAATTTAACATACATCAACCATTTAAATTTAATTTAACTATTCAACCATTTAAATTTAATTTAACTATTGTACTTTTCTAGTTTTCGATTAAAAAAATATAAAAAAAAATAAAATCAACAAAAGTAATACAGCATGAGGGTATGCAAATCCTCAAATACGAGTTTGTCAAAATCCTGATTAGCTGCTATTGGCAATGTAAAAAAAGCCAAAAGGCAATACAAATAATTCATTAGAATTACCAAAAAAAAAAATTAAGCTTAAAAACAAGGAGAAAATTCATAAGATTTGAACCTATAATTCATCTTTTCGTTTAATTTTCCTTTGCTCCAAATTGCATACAAAATTAAACAGGACATACTCAGATGAATGCTGTCTAGCTTTAAAAATCTCACTTGAATAAATGAGCATTTAGCCAATCCCTGCAAGAAAACATTGAATCAGAATTATACTTCATTTTCTTAGCAAGATACAATATTACAAGAGTAAAATAACATGAACTTACTTGTTAATGTCGTCGAGGTGATCATCAAAGTCTGCAATGTCCTCCCATTTCTGAGTTGACACATAGTCCAGCAATATTATGTTTGCTGATGGCTCCTTTAGTACCAGCCGATTACTCTCCTCTACTTTCCATGTGGAACCATTTTTTGAATATAGCTGTACAATAAACCCACAAAGTAATAAGAGAGGATGATCAAATTTCTAAGATACAAGAATAAAGATCAACTTAGTCGGTAGAGCTTTACAAAGAGCTTGACAAAGATACTCAGAAAACGGAGTCATGGCAAGCACCACTACATCAACAACAACCAAGACAAGGGATTTGATGAGACAACCAGTATATGGTACACCTTTTACATAGAATTTTAACATGAAACTTGGCTAAGCTTTGTTTATTTGGGTCGGTTTGTACAAGTTTTAGTAACTCAACAAAAAACTAAGACAAGCGACAACACACAATTGTGAAGCCCTATCTTTTACTTAAGAAACCTAGTTCATTAAACAGAATAGTGAACAGGGCACTTTGACATTAAATAAAAAAATTCAGTTGGATGAGATATTAATAAATGTAAATTGGACATTTTGCGAGCTCAAATCAGCATGCATAATGAAATACACCCCCTCCTTTTCACCCCGTCAGATTCACAAAACATGCATGTATATATGAAGTTATATGCAGTCAACTACACAGAGTGATGATGAATAACTAGAACAATCACTTGAAAACAGACCAAGAACAATGCAGGACAACAAAATTAAAGAAGGGAGTGTGCATATATACAGATCATACATCAATCCCACAAAAACCTCTACTGTGCAATGTCAAGCCTCAAATTATCATCCAAGAGCCAAAGGACAAATTTGGTTCAAACTTCAAAGTAATAAACAAACAGAACAGCTCCAGATCCAGAGGGAGGATCACAAAGTAAAATGGAAAAATTACTAGTGTTCCATAATAAGAAAGAAAAAAAAGTTACCTGCATTACAGGGCTACGATCTTTCACTTTTGGTAACGCTTCCAGTTTGCTATTGTCCAACTAAGAAATCAAAAGGTATATATATTAGCATTGATCCAATTAAAAGCATGAATTTCACCATGAATTTTGAAGATATAAGGATAATGAAATTCAAGTCAGCATCTGGTCAACATGCATACCAAAAGAACTCCACCCTGAGGAAAGTATCGACAAAGATGATCTCCAATGTTCTTGGCAACATTACCAAGATCGTTGTCATCAGATCTTTCATTTGCATGGAAGTAACCCACCAAGCTCAAACCCTGACTAGCATAATGCTCTTCTATCTAATTAAGCAGACATCAAATTAGTACATATTCATTTTTACATTAAAAATTAAAAAATAAAAATAAACAAACAAAGAAAAACATAGATAATAGAAAAGGTAACAATCTCAAAGAAAAGAAAACCAGGACTCCAGCAGTATACAACCTAGAGATTAATGAAACTAAAAAAAATGTGTCAATCACTATAAATACCATAGATGATTTCCGAAAGGCCATGATGCAACTGATCAAAGAGGGGCTACTAAAGAAGACAGTCGGGGATGAGGATGATCCCTATTAAAACAGATTTACCATTCCGGCCACAACACCACAAAGTAGCCAAATTTGACTGAGTATAGTCATAAAGATACTCTGGATATGCTTAGCAGGAGTTAAAAGATCGGTTACCCAAAAAAACTTTATTAAGCTATCTTTAAATATCTCTGCATATAAACCAGAAGATCTTAAACATCCATCACGAATAAGCACTAAAAGAATGCAATTTCATCTAATTCTGACTATACTCATGATTAATATATTGCAGCATGCCAGATGGCAAGCAAATACTACAGTGTCATCATCTCAAAGTACCTACTAAAAGAATGCAATCCCATGTAAAACTGACTATACTCAATGTGATGAATTGAAGCAAGCCATATGAGGTGGCTGGACGATATTAGAGGTGTCATCATCTCAAGCATATTCCTATTTTTCAGAAAACACCAACTAATACCAACTAAAATTTTATTGAATTCTAGTTTTGGAAACCCTAGCTGATCCATATATTGGCACTCAATTTATATATAGACCTCATCAAGCATTAAGGCTTCAAACATGAAAAAATTAGCATGAATTGATCTTAATGAATCGCGTTAGGTTACTAAGTATATGCAAAAAGATTAGTTACCTGAATGAGGGCGATCTCAAGGGCAGGGAGAAGACCAATGTTAGAATGAAAAAGAGGGACAGCGTCAACAATTTCGACCACACCCTTGCCACCATCAAAGCGGCCAACGAAAACCCCATTCACAGAGCTCTCCTTATGCTTTAAGGCGTGTAGCACTAGCTTTATATACGCATTTTGCCCAATTTCATACATCAAATCCCCCATAATAATTTAACACCAATTGACTTCGATTTACTTCAATTCACACCTACATAATTATCACACTATATAAATTAAGTCAAATAGCTCGAATTCAGTATCATCTTCTAATTACTGTGAATTACATAAGCAAACCACTCAAACTAATTAAGCAATTCAATCATCCCTATCAATAACTGACTCTCATCATTCTGCTCCAAACGTCCAAATCAATCCAGGAAAAGACCTCTAATTTCATAGTTATATACTAACATTAAAGTGTTGTGCAATACAATTTGATTCATAATTATAGGGATATTTGATTCAATTATCGATCTCATAATTTTAGGTATATTTGATATGATGATAACAAATACAAACAACTTACCTCAGAAGTTGCTTCAATGGGGGATACAAGAACTAGATTCAACGGAGATCGCCAACTGCGCTTCAATAGAGAACGTTGAGTGCGCTTCAATGGATATCTCACTAATTTGAGAGAGACCAATTCTGTAAATCCCTATGACCCGTCACAGTTATTAAAGGAATAGATCCGTCTAATAAAGTAATAAAAAAAAATGGGGCTGGTTCGTAGACTTTTTAAGAGGAAACTTAATACTCCCTCCCTCCCTTTTTTAAATAATACTAGCCTTTTGGCCCGTGCAATGCACAGCTTGTTCATAGAAAATTGCATGAGATGAGTGAGAAAATACCAATAAATAATTATGAGTGTAATATGTAATTGAAAACATAATTAAAGAAATAAAAATTTTGGGACTTTAATTTGAAATGAGACTTAATAGAAAGAAGATGAAGGGACTTAAAATCAAAGAGAGAAAATAAAAAGATCGGCTATTTCACCAAATGCCACTGAGTAATTTAAAAATTCACCAAATGCCGTCGGACTTTTCAGAATTCACCAAATGCCACCCAATTTTTTAAAAATTCACCGAGTGCCATTAATGACCAACGACCGTTAACTCCGTTAGTCATTGGGGCTTAATCATGACACATGCGGACACATGTCAGTCAGCTATTGGTTTAAAAAATATAAAAAAAAAACTCTAAATCCTAACCCAACCCAGCCCCACCTCTGTAACCACCCGCCAAAGCAAACCGACAGCTAAAGCCAACCGCCGGAACTCGGTGACCTCCTGCCAGAACCCCCAAACCTCCCGTCGGAACCCGCCAGAACCCCCAGACCTATCGTTGGAACCCCTTGACACCTCAAAAACCGTCGACTCCACTTAATCTCCCTTTCCTTCTCCCAAAAAAACCTCCCCAACCACCGCATTCGTCTCACACAATGCGCAGATTTCTACCTGCCCGACTCCAGCACCCAGAAAATGACCCACAAAAGTGTGCCTACCCGACGACCCCCGCCCTATCCCCTCCCCAGCCCCCGCAACCACCTCACGCACCTACACGACACATCACCATAGCCGTTGAAACCGACCATGGCAACCTAGAATAGAACCGGATTCTAGAAACCCTTCACCCTCAAACGGTCGATTGGGTCGAAATCTGAGGCCGATTTCGTCGTTTTAAGGGTGGAGGATAGGAGGAGTGGTTTTGCGCGATGGTTGGAAAACGCTAGGTGTTTTTATCAAAGCTCGCTTGTGTTGGTGGTTTTTGGGGTCGGGGCAGGTTGTGTGGGTGGCTATGGGGGTCGATGGTAGGTTTGGTGGGGTATAAAAGGGTCGGCCGGCCATTTTTTTGTGGTTAAAGGGGTGGTCGGCCGTTTGCTGGCTAGATAAAGGGAGGGGCTAGGGTTTGGTGGTGGTGGGAAGTTGGATGGAAATTTTTTGGGTTTTTTTTTTCTTTTAATTTTTGTGAATTAAGATAAATAGACCAATTATATCATGACATGTGTCATGATTAAACCCTAATGACTAACAGAGTTAACGGTTGTTGGTCATAAATGTCACTCGATGAATTTTTTAAAAACTGGGTGGCATTTGGTGAATTTTGAAAAGTCCGATGGCATTTGGTGAAATTTTAAATTACTCAGTGGCATTTGGTGAAATAGGCGTAAAAAGATTGAATTAAAGAGGGGAGATGAAGATGAAGTATTTAATGAAAGAGTTAAGAAAAATTGTATAATAAAAAATAAAAAAGGTAAAACAACATGTGGCACATTGGGTTGATGAATAAGACAGGGAGGTGTAATAGAATGATGACATATGTCTTTTTGGTTTGCTTTTTTAAATACTAAGTATAGATATAGATATTTGAGTAAAACAAAGATAGATTAATATTTAATGATGTCATGTCATCAATCCTTTCCACAAAAAATAAAATAAAATAAAAAAAAACAATAACATGCTCCTATTAGAAAATTAAGAACCAATCATATTCATCTAAATTTAGGAGTGAGAATAGGAAAGTAAGAGTGAGCATTAATTACATAATAGAAAAAGAAGGATAATTTGGGATATTTGGAAAAAAAAATACTTACTAAAAAAGGAAATGAGGAATGTAATTTTGGAATACCCAAAAAGAAAAGCATGAATGTAAAAAAGGGACGGAGGGAGTACAGAATATTAGTTTTTTTTTTAATAGTATAGAGTATTAGTTTGAATTTACACTTCTTTTTCCCAAATATTACCTTCACACACCAAACCTTGTATTATTTGTTTTGTTAAAAAAAATAAAAAAAAAAAACCTTGTATAAATCGTTTGTAAGGCCTTGTTCTCTTCACCTTAAAAAAATAATATTAAGTACAAATAATTTCAGTTCAGTAAAATTAAATTCAGTTCAGTAAAAATAAATTCTGTTCAGCAAAAATAAGTTCAGTTCAGTAAAATTCAGTTTTCTTAAAGAAAATTTATAATAGAAAATCAGTAAAAATAATTTTAGTTCAGCAAAAATAATTTAAGTTCCGTCCCCTCACTTTTCACTCCATTGCATTGGATCATTCTCGGGTTTGAGTCGGGTTCAGATCAAGTCAATAATTTGCGGATTATAATCATGTCGGGTCATTTTCAAGTCGGGTCATTCTCGGGTTCAAGTCGGGTTCGGTTCAAATCAATAATTTGCGGGTTATAATCGCGTTAGGTCATTTCTAAGTCGGATCATTCTCGGATTCAAGTTGAGTTATGTTCAAGTTAATAATTTACAGGTTACAATCAGGACGAGTCATTTCCAAGTCAGGTCATATTCGGGTTCAACTAACTAATAGATAATTATCATTTTTATCAAGCTAATTATTTCCTTTGACTATAATATATATGACAATATACTAGGGAACTATAGTCTATAATTTAGGAAGATAATTATCTCCTTTGACCATACAACAAATATATACTATATTTAACTATTAAATTTGAGGATGATGCTCCTTTCTTTTTTTGGCCTAGACCGACTTGGTCTCTCTAGACAAAATGCTTTGATCAACAATAATATGGAGTTCTAAATTGCATTTAAGGTGATTTGAAATCAGGTCAAGAACAATTTGGGTTGAATTTAGGTCGGTCAATAACAAGTCGTGATAATTTCGAGTCAGGTTTGTAACAGATCGGGTTGAATTTTTAGGTCGAGTAAGTAATTGGTATGGTAAAATTCGGGTCGGGTCAATAACAAGTGGGGTTGAATTTTAGGTCAAATCAGTAACAAGTCAGTTTCGGGTTAGATTTGTAACAGGTTAGGTTAATTAAATTCAGGTCGGGTTAGGAACGGGTCGGGTTAAATTTGGGTTTTGACGAGTTAAAATGGGTTTGAGTCAATTTCGGTTCAATTCGGGTTTGGTGTAAGTTAATTAAATTGGTCGTTGTAAGCCGGTAAATCGGTGCAAATTGTAAACCGATAAATTGTCCGTTTAAAAGCAAATTGGATGATTGCACACACCCAATTGGACTACCGGAGGATATTAGGGACCATGGTAAACATTTTGGAAATTTTTATTTTCGGCGAAAAAAGTCAAAAATTTCCAAAATTGAAGGCTAATATCCACGTTTTAAATAAATTTTTAAGGTTTCAGGCCCGGTGTCAAAAAGTCTTGAAATTCTATGTGATACATCTCGGGGTCATATAATGCCGTTTGGAACCATATATGATCATTATTTGTTGTCATAAATGTTCGTGGTAGGCTTGAATTATTGAAATCGGTAAAAGTTGTAAACCGGTAAATTGGTCATTTAAAGGCAAATTGGATGGTTCCACCCACCCAATTGGACTCCCGGAGGATATTAGGGACCATGGTAAACATTACGGCAATTTTTATTTCCAGAAGAAAAAAGTCAAAAATTTCCAAAATTGAAGGCTAATATCCACGTTTTTTGAGAAATTTTGAAGATTTCGGACCCAGTGTCGAAAAGTTTTGAAATTATATGAGATACATGTCGGGGTTATACAATGCCGTTTGGAACCATATATGCTCATTATTTGTTGTCATAAATGTTTGTGGTGGACTTGAATTAATGAAATCGGTGCAAGTTGTAAACCGGTAAATTGATCGTTTAAAGGCAAATTGGATAGTTCCACCTGCCCAATTGGACTCTCGGTGGGAGTTAGGGACCATGGTAAACATTTCGGCAATTTTTATTTCCGGGCGAAAAAAAGTCAAAATTTTCAAAAATTAAAGGCTAATATCCAAATTTTTTGAGAAATTTTGAAGGTTTCAGGCCTAGTGTCGAAAAGTCTTGAAATTCTATGGGATACATCTCAGGGTCATATAATGTCGTTTGGAACCATATATGATCATTATTTGTTGTCATAAATGTTCGTGGTAGTCTTGAATTAATGAAATCGGTGCAAGTTGTAAACCGGTAAATTGGTCGTTTAAAGGCAAATTGGATGGTTCAACCCACCCAATTGGACTCTCGGATGATATTAGGGACCATGGTAAACATTTCGGCAATTTTTATTTCCGGGCGATAAATGTCAAAAATTTCAAAAATTGAAGGCTAACATCCACGTTTTTTAAGAAATTTTGAAGGTTTTAGGCCCAGTGTTGAATTTTTTTGAAATTCTATGGGATACATCTCGGGGTCATATTATGCCGTTTGGAACCATATATGATCATTAATTGTTATCATAAATGTTTGTGGTTTGCTTGAATTAATGAAATCAGTGCAAGTGGTAAACCGGTAAATTGGACGTTTAAAGGAAAATTGGATAGTTCCACCCACCCAATTAGACTCCTGGAGGGTATTAGGGACCATGATAAACATTTCGGCAATTTTTATTTCCGGACGAAAAAAAGTCAAAAATTTACCTAAATTGAAGGCTAATATCCACGTTTCATGAGAAATTTTTAAGGTTTCGGGCCGGGTATTGAAGAGCCTTGAAATTTTATGGGATACATCTCGGGGTCATATAATGCCGTTTGGAACCATATATGATCATTATTTGTTGCCATAAATGTTCGTGGTAGGCTTGAATTAATGAAATTGGTGCCAGTTGTAAACCGGTCAATTGGTCCTTTAAAGACAAATTAAATGGTTCCACCCACCCAATTGGACTCCCGGAGGATATGAGGGACCATGGTAAACATTTCGGCAATTTTTATTTCCTAACGAAAAAAGTCAAAATTTTCCAAAATTGAAGGCTAATATCC